CCAATCCATCCTCCGCTCAGCTGCTTCCCTAAACCCTAGGTTGAACCATGAACCATGAAACCCTGCTCAGTGAGCCACAGGGGCTCCCCATTACCTCCACAATCAAATATAAGCCTCTCTTCTGTAGGAATCAAAACTCTTCATAACCTGGCCCCTTCCTGCCATTTCAATATTCTGACACTTTGCTCCCGTCTATGTGCTCTACAACCCAACTAACTTGGCCTAATTGTAGTTATTCAAGCACACCATTACCTCTCCCAGCTCTTTGCCTTGTACTGACTGTCTCCCCCTCACCACCACCAATGCCTTCACTTCTCAGACTACTTCTATATACTCCCTATAGCTGTTTGCCTATTTTCTCACCCTTTGGAATTGTAAGCTCTCAGATGGCAGGAACTGTTTTGCCTTTCTTTGAATCTCTAGCACTTCACCCAGTGGCAGGTACTTAACAAATGCTTGTTGAGTTACTGACTGGCACAGGGCGAAGCACAGATCCCTAGGACTCTTTACTAGAGATCTTCCAAGCTGACATAGAACAATTAATAACTACTCTTTGAGTATGGGCATTTGGCCTGTTTAGAAATTAATTCTTCTATCTACTTGCACATACAATACTCCAACCCATGTCTCTGCATCTGTTCCGCAAGAGATTGCTTGAAATAGAAACTAAAATTGAGCGACCCAGCCCTTTTCTTAGTTATAGACTTGATAGGATGGGATGGAACAGCTTCATGACAATTATGGGGTTACTGGGGCATATATCAAATAGAGAAGACAAGACATCTTCATTAATAATGCCATAACCTTCCTAGGGGTAGGTTAGGTGGTCTAAAAGAAAGTTAGATAAGTCCCTAATTATTTGAAACAGGATATGAGTCAGTTCTACCAGCCTTCAGCATGCTTGCATGAGATTCTTATCTCTTAGAGCCACATTATCAGACCATCATTTAATATCAAATTGTTGAAACATTTAGTAACAATAATTGACCAAATCTTTGACCTTATTTAGGCATCAATAAGGATGGGTCTAGACCTTCAAACACAGTCCAGTTCTTAACAATCAGTCTTCCACCTATAAGCCCATATTGTTAGATCAATGGAGAAATGACTTGCTCATGGTCATACAGCTAGTAAGAAACAGAGCTAGGGCTGGAATGAAAGTCAAATTAGTCCAGAGAGACAGCATGATGCTGAAGAGTGAGCACTGTGGAATCAGGGAGGATCCAGATTCAAATTCCACTATTATTTATTACATGTGAGACCTTGGTCAAGTCACTTAACCTCTCTGGGCCTCAGTTTCCTTATCTGTAAAATGAGAGGGTTGGACTAGGTGGTCTCTAAGTTCTTTTCCAAATCTGTAATCTCTCCAACTATGTCTCCAACTCCAGGGTTTCTCACTACATCATGCTGATTCTTGTGTCCTTTGTACCAGACTTTAAGTTCCTTTAAATAAGTTTTCTGTAAGGTAAGAACTGTATCTCATCTCATCTCTCTCCTTGCCCACAGTTGGCCCTTAACAAATATTTACTGAGCTTAAATGTTTAGACTGGGTTGGATTGGGTTGAACTGGACAAAAGACAAGCATGATTGTTCAGTATATGTGACTAATCAATACCTCTTACAAATGAACCAGAGAAAGACCTATCACCAATCTAGGGATGGCTTATATTAGGTTTTCAATGACCCTAGCCCCAAAGCAGCACTGGATTCCTTCTTGGATAATACCAACCCTCTTCTCTTCTTCCTTTGGGTCCTAGGAAGCTACAAGGTCCTTTTAATTCCCCACTCTTACCTTCCCCCTCTCCTTCAGCCTCACCCTCCAAACCCTGCCTGGAAACAGGGGTCAGGAAAACAGAATGTTCAGGGGGGAGAATGGACCCCTCTAGGAAACAGTGAACAGCAGAAAAGGGAAAGGGATGAACAAATATTTATAAAACACCTACTGTGCCAAATATTGTACTAAGCAATATACAAATATCTCATTTGATTCTCACAACAACCCTTTGGGATAGATCCTAGGAATAATCCTGTTTTACAGTTGAGGAGATTGAGGCAGACAGAGGTTAAGTGACTTGCCCAGGCCACATAGCTAGTTGAACTCAGTTGTTCCTGACTCCAGGCCTAGCACTCTATCTACCATTACCACCTAGATGGCTCTCCTGCTGGAGAAGAAGAAGAATCTCTCAAAGCCCAGGTGAACTTAGGATAATCTCCTGGAAATATTTGGTGATCAGGAGGAAGAGAAGGAGAAATAGAAGGAGGCAGCCAGGGAGCACCATTCCAACCTGGCCAAAGTACACTTGTAGACTCCAAGGCAGTAAAGGTAGATACCACCATCTCTCCAGCTCACCGCCTGAGCATAGAGCCAGAATTGGCCAGACTGGCGCTGCAAGAGACCTTCAAAATCATCTAGTCGGAAGTCCTTTGTTCAATCCTTAGATTCCTTCCAGATTTATCTCAGGTGCCCTCTCCTAAGGGAAACTTCACCTGATTTCTCTACTTCTTAGCATTGCTTCCCTCCTCAAATTATCTTGTATTTGCTTCTCAGTGTATACGTTTTATCTCCTGGTAGAATGTAAGCTTCTTGAGGGCAAGGACTGCTTCCTTTGTGTTTTTCTATCCCCAACACCTAGTAGTATCCCTTTGTGAAAGCTAATTTATGTTAATTGGTTAAAATGAAAGCAGGGTACCAATCACTGTAAGTTAACAGTGAGGGAACACAGGAACAGAAGCTTTGCCTGATAGCATTGGACAAAGACAAGCTCAACCCCTCAGGTGTTCCCCTAGAACTCTGGGTGGGCAGGTGGGGGACCCAAGGTAATGTCCAAGGAGACACTCAGGGAGAGTGAGTCCAGAACACTGTCACAGTAGCACTTGAAAAGGCCTTAGAGGTCATCTGATCTAAACTCATTTTAATTAAGCATTCTGCCCTCTCCCAGAATGAAGGTCTTCTATTTTCCTAAAACCCACTTGCCTTCCAAAAGTTATTCCTCCAAGCAGCTTTCTAAGAGTATTATGACCTATGTGCAGCTATCCTCTTTCCAAGTTCCTATTGCAAGAAGACTAGACTTAAGGGCTGGACTGTGTGACTCTGCAATGGACAGGTCTATACTTGTGTACTTTCAGAGATTTGTTATTCTGGGGTGTAGATAAAGAGGCAGACATTCATTACATGTGATTGTTAGACCTTTCTTTAGGGGACCACATGGTAAGCTGGCTGCTCTAAGCCTTGGGAGAGTCAAAAGCTAAGTTAAGTCTGAGGTATACCTAAACTGAATAACTGAGATAACTGGGCCTGAAGTCAGGATAGACCTGAGTACAAATCTGGCTTCATATACTTATTACCTGCATGAGCCTGGCCAAGTCATTTAACCTCAGTTTCCTCATCTAGAAAATAATAATAACACCTGCCACTTATGGTTGTAATGAGTATCAAATGAAATAATAATTGTGAAGCACTTAGCACAGTGCCTGGTGCTATATAAATGTTAGCTATTGTTATTAGTAAGCTCTCTCAAAATGGATGGAATTTCAAATATCTTGTCAAGCTGATCACTACTGGGGAGATTTTGATGCAGTGCTCCCCAACTCGGGCCAAATGGTCCTCCCAACCCACTATCCCTCCTCCAACCCTCTATTCAGCAGACCTAAAGAATGTAAAGAAGGACCTGGGAATTTGGAGTTTTTCAGAGACTGTAGTGAGAACAGATTAAGAGGAGGGTTTGCACAAAAAGGGGATAAAAAGAAGTTTGTATAGAATAATTTTACATATATCTACCTATTTGCGTCTAATGGTAGCCATCTCTAGGGAGGGGTAGGGGAGGGAAGAAAAAGAATTTAAAAATTGACAAGACAATTTTGTTGTATAATTGAAAGGAATAGTAAGTTGTGCATAGTAGATTTGCATTTTCATGTATGATCATCTTTTTATTGCATTATGCTGATGCTTGTCTTATTCCATAAATTAAAAATAAATTTTTTTAAAAAAATTTTAAAGGGGAAGGTGAAGAATATGGAAGGTGTAGTAATGTATGTTTTTAAAAAACAGTTTGATTTAAAAGAGTTTCATGGGGAAGCTTGACATTTTGGACTCCTTCCTAAATAAGTCAGCAGTCCACACAGGAAGTGCTTTTCAGGGTAAGGATTCTGGACCTGACTCTGGCCCTGGTCCTACTTGAACTTTGAAGAGGAGAGACTAGTGGAATCTCTGATCAGAATAAGAGTTTAGTCGCTGTACCTGTCACCATCAGGGTTTAGGGGCAGCAGGTATTATATCTGGGAGATTTTTTTTCTGATTCAGCCAGATTTAAGGGTAGTTGAGGCTTTAGCTACAGGGCTTACCTACAGTTCAATTTATAGTCAGAGGCCAGAGCTACAAGGAGTAGGGATAGGGAATAGGTGCCTAGGTAATGGCATCTTAGCAGGCTTGAACCTTTTAGTAAGTCTGATAAAAGGTAGTGGCTATAATCAATATATTTTGAATTATTATGGCTAAGCTCTGTTTTTTGTAATGGCTCTCTATTGCATTTTCCTGGGCTTTGGGTTATTTGGGATAACCATGTAAGGAAGATGGCTAGGTGATACAATGGATACAGTGTTGGGCCTGGAATCAGAGTCTTCTTTCTGAGTTCAAATGTGGCCTCAGACACTTACTAGCTGTGTGACCCTAGGCAAGTCATTTAATCCTATTTGCCTCAGTTTCCTCATCTGTAAAATGAACAAGAGAAGGAAATGACAAAACGCTCCAAGATCTTTGCCAAGAAAATCCCAAATGGGGTCACTAAGAGTCACACATGAATGAAAAGACTTAAAACAGCATGTGATGGAATGATTTATCTTTCAAATGGTGTTATAATGTATTTTTAGGTGATTAAATAATTTTTGATTGTGGGATGTCTTTCTTGATATCCCTTAAGCTCCTTTGAGAGACCCCATAACAGTGGAAAAACAGGCTGTACAGGGTGAGCCAGCCCAAAGAAAGCACTGCTTCCAGAACAAGGTGAGTTTGCAGAGACTTTAATGAGACATAAGCAATACCATGAAAATGAGCCCATTTCCCTTTTCTTTCTTGTCCATCCAGCACCCTTTGCAAAACAACTCACAGGACAGACTTGCAGAAGCATGGAACCCCAGGGCCAGAAGAGTGGTCATGCAGAGGATGAAATTGAAGGCACAAGAAGGGACTTGTCCAAGGTCGCAGAGGGACTCAGTGAAAGATCAGGAAACTAGAACCCAGGTGTCTGGACTCTAAGCCCACGACTAGGCAGTCTCTGGGGCAGCCAAAAAGGAGGGAATGATTCCAAGAAGGAGGTTGTGAGAGGAAAAAGCTGAGCTCAGAGAAACACAGGGTCAGGAAGATGGACAAGTAGAGGAAGTGGGATGGTTTGATGGACTTTCTAGTAGACACAGAAGGCTTAGACATTAACTGAGTTTGTAGAAGAGCGTGGGGATGTATGCTTGTTGATCCAATCCACATAGCTCGTGACACGTGTATAGACACCAGGCCTGAGGTCAATGCCACAGCCTATTCCCCAACTCACAATGCCGGCCTGCTTCCAGGAGTTCCCAACTTTGCAGACCAGGGGTCCCCCGGAGTCACCCTAAAAGGCAGGACAGAGTCTGTTAGCCTGATCCAAAGGTAACAGTTTTCAGGAGAGGTTGACTCTAGGGTGCAATGGGGTCAGGAGTGGGGGGAGAAAGGGAGGGGAGAAGCTGGGGGGAGGAGGAGGAGTCACCCATGGGCTTTCACCTGACAGGAATCTACATTGTGTTTGCCAGCACATAGCATGTCATCGGTAATTATCTTCACAGATGAGCTGGTATATGCTCCCTCATGATACTCTTGATCACATCTTCGTGTATCCAACAAAGGGACTTGTACCTGCCTCAGGGTATAGGGTGGGGGCAAGGGCTCTGTAGAAGAAAGAGAAGAGGAGCATTGCCATTGGCCCAGGGAAACAGAGGGGGTGTCCTGGGACTCCCACAAAGCCCTGGGAAGGATCAGAGGCCACAGGCATTAGGAGCATCTCACCTTGGGTGCTAGGCACCAGGCAAGCAAGACCAGAGATGGAGCCCAAACCTGAGGCCCATCTTCTTCTTGCAGCTGGTGTAGGGACCTACACAATAGGGACTTGGGCAGAACCAATATTTATGGGACAATGTCTCTGCTCTGAGGGAACTGGCACCCAGATGCCACGGTCTGCAATAAAGCATTTGAAGCTAGGCAAAGGAATCAATACTGCCCTGACTTCTGGAAAGAGGGGAATGAGAAATTGGGTCAAGAGATCATCAGATCTGTTTGATGGTCCGGTTCACATAGGAAGCCACAGAGTAGTCAATTAACTATCCTATTGATCAGCTTACTATCCTTGCAACTCTCCCAGCTCCCTTCCCCAGCCACCATGACCCTATCTGTGCCTAGACACACCTGGAGGCACAGTAGATAGAAGACAGTGAATGGGATCTAAAGTTAGAAAGGCTTGAGTCCAAAGCTCACCTAAGACATTCACTAGCTCTTTAACCTAAGCAAGTTATTTAGCTTCTGACTCAGTTTCCTCATCTGTACAATGAAGATAATAATATCCCTTACCTCCATTGTGAGTATAAAATAAAATATTTGTGAAGCATTTTGCAAAGCTTAAAGTGATATATAAATGCTAGGATAATAATGTGTTGTTTCCTTCTATTAGAATGTCATCTCCTTGAGGACAGGAACTGTCTCCCCTTTCTTTATTTTACCCCCAAAACTTAGCACAGTGCCTAACACCTGGTAAGTGCTGAATAAATGCTTTCTCATTCTTGCATTCACTCATTCAATACCCTCACTTTACAAAGAAAGGTAATGAGTCTCAGAAAAGAGAAGCAACAGTTCATATGGCTAAAAAGTAGCAGAGTTGGGTTTTGAACTCAGGCGCTTTTGACTACAAATCCAATGCCTTCTCCATTCAGCCTGGTGCTATTAGACACAGACAGTGAGGAATCTGGGGTGGAAGCAAAGAACTGAGACATCTATGCTCATGGGGCTAAGGGCCCAGCATTCCTATTAAGTAATTTGAATGGCTAAAAGAAGGGAGAAAACGTGTGTTCCCTAACTTCTTCTCCCTTTCTCCCCCCAGGTATTAGCATGCCTAGCTGTGACCCTGGTCCTGGCTGCAGTGTTGGGGAATCTGAGAAGATCCATGATGCTCCATTTCTTCTCAATGCTCACCTCCAGAACTAAGATCCCCCCAGCCAGTCACCCAGCACTCTGAATCCAAGGGAAAGATCTCCGTGGCATTTGGGAGGCTAATGAGCTTGATATGACTGGACAGCTCCACAGGGCTCTTCAGTTTCAGCAGAGCAACATCCCCACCACTTTCAGCAGAAGTGTACTTGGGAAAAACAATAATCTTCGCCAGTGGCAGGAGCTGGTCCTCATAATACAGGTGCTGTTCCCTCAGTTGGATCATGTATGATGAAGGATTCTGTCGAAGACTGGGGTAAGAAGGAAAAAAATGTTCATTCAAAGCACCTGGGTCTGGGTTGGGAGACCACAGTGGAGTTTAACGTCCTCAGGACTCTACCCCTGCAGACTTGGGGACTGAGCCTCTCTGAGCCCCCCACAACCTTCCTACACTGTAAGGATCTCCAGCTCACTGCCTATCACCTTGCCTTCTCTCTCCTGGGTTTCCCAATTAAATAATGATGATGGTACCCCACATGCATAGGACACTTTTTGGTTTAAGAATGCATAGACCCCAACTTTCATCGTTGGAAAAAGCAGGACAGGAACTGTTATTCCTGTTGTACAAAGGAAGAAACTTAGGCCTAAAGAAATCAGTAAACAGCTACTTCAAAGCTACATAGTGACTCGATGACAGAGTCTAGATCAAATCCAGGTTTCCTGACTCCCAGCCCTGGGCCTATGTTCACTCAGTTCCTCTCCCTATGCCACGTTCATTCATGTCCATCCAGCTGAGTGGGGAGGAGAAGACTTACATGCCAATGCAGTGGGCAGCAGTCAGTACCCATTGGGGGTGGATGAGGGAGGCACCACATATGTGCCTCCAGTATCCTCTGGCAGGAACCCTGAGGCTGACCTGCCAGAGCCACTCCTCCTTCCAAGCCTCCTGGCCTCCAACAATTCCAACTTGGTCCCTACCTAAGTAGAGAGAGAAGTGATTGTCAGGATATATTCAGATATCAGGCTGTCCTCTGAGGGCTTCACACAGCTGCAGTGACCATCCTCTGCTTCCAAGATTATATGCCATGAGCTGGGTCTCAGCTGAGGGATGACATTCCTTTCCATAATGATAACTATACCAACAACAATAAAGATAATGATATTATTGACCAAAATTTATTAAGGACCAGATGCTTGTAGAAATAAGTGAGCTTTACAATGCACCTTACCTATATGGTCTCATTTGATCCAACCAACAGCCTTGGGACATGGATACACCCACCGTGCCTTTCTAATTCCATTTCTAGCCCTCCTTCCACTATAAAATGCTGCTAACCAGGGGGAACTCAGGCATCCTGTTTCCCAGAAATTACCACTGCCTCAAGAACCTCACATTCCATCCCAGAGTAAGAGTTGAAGCATTCTCATATGCCTCCCAGATATCACTCCTCATATGAGCAGCACAAGGCTAAGTACTTGAAGATCAGGCAGGCAGAGTCACCTTGAATCAGAGGCATTGAACTCCCCAGGAGGGGAAAGGTCAGGAACAGTAGGCATAACATCTGGAGGAAAAGAGAGAGAAGCAGACTGAAGCCAGCAAAGAGCAGCTCTGCATGCCACAGTCTGGGTTAAAGCACCTCTGCTGTGTGGGGCTGGGAGCCCTGGCTTTGGATATCAGGTTGTTGTAGGGGATTAGGATTCTTACCGTGTCCAAATTCCTGTGTTGTGTCCTCCCCATGAGTTAGCCCTCTACTTATCCTCCAAGGACAGGAAGTAGAGGAGGGAGGGAGGATGGGGCCAACCCAGACTTCTTCTCAAAAGTGGAGGGGGGTGGTGAAGGAGGTGGAGGAAATAAAGCGGGAAGTGTGCTGAGAACTCTGGCTGATGACCTGTCAGATGCCTATGCTCCCATCCTCTTCTCCTCAATCTCCACCTTAATTCTAATCCTCTTAACCTCTCCCCATTTCCAGGTGGCCTGGAAGTCAGAGGCCTATGAGAACTCTAACCCCAAGCAGGGTTAGGGAATCATGTATTCTCCCCTCAGAAGCATAGCACTTTCCTTGAACCCTCTAAAAAACATTTATCATGTAACTTTGTGTAGTATTAATTATCAGTATTTCTGTCTTTTCCTCCTCTAGACTGTAAACTCTAAGAATCTGAATGTCTAAGCTTTAATTAAATAGCCCCCAGTACCCAGTTCACTGCTTTTCCCATACCAAATATTTAATTTACATTGAGTGGATAAATAAGATCTTAAGATCAAAGATGTGAAAGTTGGAATGGTCCTCAGAGATTTCTAGTCCAATCCAATTTAGGGATCAGAAAACCAAAGCCCAGAGACCTTGCCCAAGTCAAGTTAAATAACTTTCTCAAGGTCTCATAGACGGTAAGTAGTTCTTAAATTTTCTGGCTGAATATCAAGGGAACTAATGAAAAGAAATGCAGGGGAAGGTGGCCTAGCAATTCCAGATCTTAAATTGTATTATAAAGCAGCAATCATCAAAACTGCTTGGTACTGGCTAAGAAATACAGTGATGGATCATTGCAATAGGTTAAATACGCAAGACACAGTAGTCAATGACTATAGTAATCTATTATTTGATAAACCCAAAGACCTCAGCTTCTGGGATAAGAACCCACTCTTTGAAAAAAACTGCTGGGAAAACTGTAAAAGAGTATGGCAAAAACTAGGCATAGACCAAAATCTCACACCATATATCAAAATAAAGTCAAAATGAGTTCATGATTTAGATATAAAGGCTGACACTATAAGCAAACTGGGAGAGCAAGGAATAGTACACCTAACAGATCTATGGAGAACAGAAGAATTCATGACCAAACAAGAGATAGAGAAGGTTAGGAAAAGCAAAATGGATAATTTTGATTACATTAAATTGAAAAGTTTTTGCACAAACAAAACCAATGCACCTTAAATTAGAAGGAAGGTAGAAAATTGGGAAAGAATTTTTACAACCAATCTCTCCAATAAGGGCCTCATTTCTAAAATATAATAGAGAATTCAGTCAAATTTATAAGAATACAAGCCATTCCCCAATTGGTAAATTGTCAAAGGATATGAACAGACAGTTCTCAGATGAAGAAATTAAAGCCATCTATAGTCATATGAAAAAATGCTCTAAATCATTATTAATTAGAGAAATGAATCAAAACATCACACCTATCAGACTGGCCAACATGACAAAACAGGAAAATGATAAATGTTAGAGAAGATGTGGGAAAATTGGAACATTAATGCATTGTTGGTGGAGTTGCTAAATGATTTTGGAGAACAATTTGGAACTATGCCCAATGGGCTATAAAAATGTGCATACCCTTTGTCCCAGCAATAGCACTTCTAGGGCTGTATCCCAAAGAGATCATACAAAAGGGAAAAGGACCCACATGTACAAAAATATTTATAGTATCTCTTTTTGTGGCATCAAAGAATTGGAAATTGAGAGGATGTGCATCAATTGGGGAATGGCTGAGCAAATTGTGGTATATGAATGTAATGGAATACTATTGTGCTATAAGAAATGATGAAAAGTCTGACTTCAGAAAAACCTGGAAAGACTTGTATGGTCTGATGCTGAGTGAAATGAGCAGAACCAAGAGAACATGGTATGCAATAACAGCCACGTTGTTCGATGACTAATATTGATAAACTTAACCCTTCCCAGCAATACAAGGATCTAAGACATGTCCAGAGGCCTCATGATGGAAAATGCTATCCACATCCAAAGTAAGAGCTATGAAAGTTGAATTGTTATTTTTTTCTCCTCTGTTGAGTTTAGTTTCCTCTTTCTGATGGTTCCTCCTATTGGTTTTAATTTTTACTTATAACACCACTAATGTGAAAACGTGCTTAATGGGAATGTAAATGTATAGCCTGTATCAGACTGTGAGCCATCTTGGGGAAGGTGGTAGGGAGGAAGGGGAAGAAAAATTTTAAACTCAAAAGCATATGGAAGTGATTATTGATAAATCAAAATAAATTGATAAAAATTTGAAAAAAAGAAAAAGGAATGTACATAAAGGAGAAACTCTAAATCTCAAAGCACACTAAAAGCAGCAGTTAATGTTAACAACAAATAATCTGAAAGAATATTAATTATAATCAATAACTCAATCAACAAGGAGTTAATAAGCGCATTGTATGTGTCAAGCACTATGTTAAGTGCTGAGAATAAAAAGAATAGCAAAAAACAAAAACAAAAAATTCTGGACATTTCTATGTAGCTCTTCCAAGCCTGCCTTGCCACATCATGATTCTCATCTGCTCCTTCTTGATCCCAAAGACAGAATGGACTCAGTCAAATTCCACGTGAATTTGTGGATTTGCCCACCAGAAAACACCAGCCAGGACCTTCTCCCAAGGTCCACCATACATACTTACTCTCTGCCTTTCAGAAACTATTCTTATTTCTACAGTGGACTAATGGGGACTCTCACCACTGCAATACTCCAGAAGGATCTGGATTACAATAAAAGCATTTCTTCTGTGAAGTTTGGATTCACTCAAAGGGTCACACTTGAGGACCTAGAGAGCCACATATGGCCTCAAGGCCACAGGTTCCCCACTCCTGATCTAGAATCTCATCCATGTGGCTAGTCCTCCAACAATGCATTTCAGCCCATCCACACCTGCCTATACTGGACAGTTCTTATCCATGTCTCCTTACGACTTCACTACAAGGGGTCTCTCCAACTGACTGAGAAGCTGCCTTGCTTCCTCTTGAACAGTGAGAGGAAACCAATGGAGCACAGGGTCTGTCCAACAGCTATTCTTGCTGTCACCATATGGCCAAGCTACCTCCTTTTCCAGTCCATACATTTCTTTAGTGACATTCCTTACACCCATCACCTTCCTCTCCATTGCCCTATAGATGAATCTCAGCTTCAGTTCTCCAGACACTGGTGTTTCATGACTCCTACTCATACCATAGTGCCTAAACAACACAATACTAAAAAGATGAGTTTTTGTTTTGGGGAAAGATGGTGGATAATTCAAAGTCATTTGCACTACCCCAAAAGGCCATCCAGCCTAGTCTCCTTTTCAATTCTCAGATTCTTTCAGTAAGTCCACTTTCAGTAAGGGTCCTAGATCAGTTCTGAAGGCTGTCCATCCAGCTGCACATCATGCCCTCTGGACAAAAGGCATTCTTGATCCACTTTTTTGCATGTATTTTGCCCTGAATGGATGAGTAGGCCAAACTCTTTATAATGACTCTGAATCATTTTAGGGGCCTTTGTAGTGGTCCTGGACTGGAAGCAATCAGCACAATGCCTTCTGCATCTGCAGCATCTCGAAGACCTCACCCTCTATAGATGACTTGGTCTCTGCACTGGATCTACTCCATGATGTGCTGAAGCACAAAACTCAATTATGTCCCAATTGTTATTAATAATCAAAGAATGGGTGACCAAAAATGTCTTTGGTTAAATACTTTAAGCAATCTCATATAAAGATTTCCCACCAGTGGGACAGCTTGGTAGTGCAGTGGATAGAACACAGCCCCTGGAATCACAAGTACCTGAGTCCGAATCTGGTCTCAGAGCAGACACTTGACACTTAACTAGATGTATGACTCTGGGCAAGTCGCTTAACTCAAATTGCCTCGCCAAAAAAAATATTTCTCACCAAACAAAATTTATTGGAAAAGAGCCAATCAGGTGTCATGGTGTCCTACCCAACGGAATGGGTTTTGTTCATGGCAAACAAACAATAACCACAGTAAGATCATATAAAGATGTGGACTACCATGGAATATCACTTGCCAAAGTCTGCTTGTTCCCTGAAAATTTTTGCCAGCTTCTTGAGAACAGGGACTGTCTTGCTTTTCTATTTGTATCTCTACCACTTAGCACAGTGTTTAGTGCAGAGTAAGCATGTAATAAATGCATTTTCATTCTTCATTCATTAACCACATCAAGGAGGCCCTTGATGTTATACAAATCAGAAAGTAGTCATATGTATTGCTAGCTGAGAATATTTTCTCCTGACCATTTAAGGAGTCAAAAATCTAAACTATATCCTTTACTGATCACAATGCAATATAAATTATAACCAATTAAAGGCCCTTGAAGAAAGGGTCTCAATATTTAACTTAAATGGGGACTAATTTAATCCTAAAGATTTGGTGGGTCAAAGAACAAATCATAGAAAGCATAAATAAATTAATCAAAGTCAATTAAAATGGCATTATAAAATGACAAAACATTTTGGAAATAGCTAGAACAGTCATTAGGGGAAATTTTATATCTCTGGACACTTATATAAACAAATAGAGATAGAATGTGTCAATGACTGGGGCATACAACTCAAAAAATTAGAAAAGCTACAAAAGAAAAAAACAATCAACACAAAAATAAAAGTTCCTAAAATGAGAGTTTAACAAAATTGACAGTTTAATTGAATTGATAAATAAAATTAGTTTCCTTTTAAAAAAAGACTAATGAAGTATTTAAATCATAAGCACCTACGTGATGCAGTGGCTAGAGTGCCTGGCCTAGAGTCACAAAGACTCTTCTTTCTGAGTTCAAATCTCACTTCAGAAGCTTGCTAACTGTGTGACCAGAAGCAAGTCATTTGACCCTCTTTGCCTCAGTTTCCTCATTTGTAAAATGAGCTGGATCATTTTACATTGGCAAACCACTCCAACATTTTTGCCAAGAAAATCCCAAATGGGGTCAATAAGAGTCACACATGAATGAAAGGACTTAACAACAGCATGTGATGGAAAGATTGATCTTTCAAATTGTGTATTTTATTTTTTTAGGTAATGAGATTTTTTTTTATTGTGGAACGTCTTTCTTGATATGCCTTAAGTTCCTTTGAGAGACTCCATAACAGTGGAAAAACAGTCTCTACAGGGTGAGCCAGCCCAAAGAAAGCACTGCTTCCAGAACAAGGTGAGTTTGCAGACAGTTTAACTAGACATAAGCAATACCATGTAAATGAGTCCATTTCCCTTTTCTTTCTTTCCCATCCAGCAGCCTTTGCAAACAACTCACAGAACAGACTTGCAGGAGCATGGAACTCCAGGGCCAGAAGAGTGGTCATGCAGAGGATGAAATTGAAGGCACAAAAAGGGACAGAGGGAATCAATGAAAGAGTGGGAAACTAGAAGCCAGGTGTCTGGACACTAAGTCCATGACTAGACAGTCTCTGGGGCAGCCAAAAAGGAGGGGATGATTCCAAGAAGGAGGTTGTGAGAGGAAAAGGCTGAGCTCAGAGAAACACAGAAAGATGGACAAGTAGAGGAAGTGGGATGGTTTGATGGACTTTCTAGTAGACACAGAAGGCTTAGGCATTAACTGAGTTTGCAGAGAAGCCTGGAGAAATATGCTTGTTGATCCAATCCACATAGCTCGTGACACATGTATAGATGCCAGGCCTGTGGTCAATGCCACAGCCTATTCCCCAACTCACAATGCCGGCCTGCTTCCAGGAGTTCCCAACTTTGCAGACCAGGGGTCCCCGGAGTCACCCTAAAAGGCAGGACAGAGTCTGTTAGCTTGATCTAAAGGTCAGAGTTTCCAGGAGAGGTGGACTCTAGGGTCAATGGGGTCAGGAGTGGGGGGAGAAAGGGAAGGAAGAGGCTGGGGGAGGAGGAGGAGTCACCCGGGGGCTCTCACCTCACAGGAGTCTACATTGTGTTTGCCAGCACATAGCATGTCATCAGTAATTATCTTCACAGATGAGCTGGTATATGCTGCCTCACGATACTTTTGATCACATTTTCGTGTATCCCACAGAGGGACTTGTACCTGCCTCAGGGTATAGGGTGGGGGCAAGGGCTCTGTAGAAGAAAGAGAAGAGGAGCATTGCCATTGGCCCAGGGAAACAGAGGGGGTGTCCTGGGACTCCCACAAAGCCCTGGGAAGGATCAGAGGCCACAGGCATTAGGAGCATCTCACCTTGGGTGCTAGGCACCAGGCAAGCAAGACCAGAGATGGAGCCCAAACCTGAGGCCCATCTTCTTTTTGCAGCTGGTGTAGGGACCTACACAATAGGGACTTGGGCAGAGCCAATATTTATGGGACAATGTCTCTGCTCTGAGGGAACTGGCACCCAGATGCCACGGTCTGCAATAAAGCATTTGAAGCTAGGCAAAGGAATCAATACTGCCCTGACTTCTGGAAAGAGGGGAATGAGAAATTGGGTCAAGAGATCACCAGATCTGTTTGATGGTCCGGTTCACATAGGAAGCCACAGAGTAGTCAATTAACTATCCTATTGATCAGCTTACTATCCCTGCAACTCTCCCAGCTCCCTTCCCCAGCCACCATGACCCTATCTGTGCCTAGACATACCTGGAGGCACAGTAGATAGAAGACAGTGAATGGGATCTAAAGTTAGAAAGGCTTGAGTCCAAAGCTCACCTAAGACATTCACTAGCTCTTTAACCTAAGCAAGTTATTTAGCTTCTGACTCAGTTTCCTCATCTGTACAATGAAGATAATAATATCCCTTACCTCCATTGTGAGTATAAAATAAAATATTTGTGAAGCATTTTGCAAAGCTTAAAGTGATATATAAATGCTAGGATAATAATGTGTTGTTTCCTTCTATTAGAATGTCATCTCCTTGAGGACAGGAACTGTCTCCCCTTTCTTTATTTTACCCCCAAAACTTAGCACAGTGCCTAACACCTGGTAAGTGCTGAATAAATGCTTTCTCATTCTTGCATTCACTCATTCAATACCCTCACTTTACAAAGAAAGGTAATGAGTCTCAGAAAAGAGAAGCAACAGTTCATATGGCTAAAAAGTAGCAGAGTTGGGTTTTGAACTCAGGCGCTTTTGACTACAAATCCAATGCCCTCTCCATTCAGCCTGGTGCTATTAGACACAGACAGTGAGGAATCTGGGGTGGAAGCAAAGAACTGAGACATCTATGCTCATGGGGCTAAGGGCCCAGCATTCCTATTAAGTAATTTGAATGGCTAAAAGAAGGGAGAAAACGTGTGTTCCCTAACTTCTTCTCCCTTTCTCCCCCCAGGTATTAGCATGCCTAGCTGTGACCCTGGTCCTGGCTGCAGTGTTGGGGAATCTGAGAAGATCCATGATGCTCCATTTCCTTCTCAATGCTCACCTCCAGAACTAAGATCCCCCCAGCCAGTCACCCAGCACTCTGAATCCAAGGGAAAGATCTCCGTGGCATTTGGGAGGCTAATGAGCTTGATATGACTGGACAGCTCCACAGGGCTCTTCAGTTTCAGCAGAGCAACATCCCCACCACTTTCAGCAGAAGTGTACTTGGGAAAAACAATAATCTTTGTCAGTGGCAAGAGCTTCTCCTCATAGTACAAGTACTGTTGTCTCAATTGGATCCTGAAAAATGAAGGCTCCACCGGATGACTGGTAGAAGAGGGAAAGAAACGTTCCTTCAAGGCACCTGGGTCTGAGTTGGAGGTTCACAGTTGAGTTCAACAACCCCAAGACTCAATCCTCTTCCTCCATCACCTGAAGTTCACTCCTGCACACTTGGAGACTGAGCATGGCCTGGCCTCCCACAACCTTCCTACACTGTTTTGTTTTGTTTTGATTTGGGTTTGTTGTTTTGTTTTGTTTGTTTGGGGGTATTTTTGGTTTGGTTTTTTTTTTGCTTGTTTGTTTGTTTTCGTGTGAGGCAATTGGAGTAAGTGACTTCCCCAGAGGCACATAGCTAGTGAGTGCTATTTGTCTGAGGCCAGATTTGAACTCAGGTCCTCCTGAATCCAGGGCCAGTGCTCTATCTACCATGCCACCTAGCTGCCCCCAACCTTCCTACATGGTAAGAATCTCCAGCTCATTGCCTATCACCTTGCCTTTGCTCTCCTGGGTTTACTATTGAAATAAAGTGATGCTACCACCTATGTAGATGATGCTCTTTGGTGTAAAAAATGCATAGCCTCCAACTTTCATTTTTGAGGAAACCAGGACAGGGACTCTTCTCCCTATTGTACAAAGGAAGAAACTTTGGCCTAAAGAAATAGGTAAACAGCTTGTCCAAAGCTACATAGTGAGTCAATGACAGAGTCTAGATCAAATCCAGGTTTCCTCACTCCCGTCCCTGGGCCTGTCTCCACTCTGTTCCTCTCCCTATGCCAGGTTCATTCATGTCCATCCAGCTGAGTGGGGAGGAGAAGACTTACATGCCAATGCAGTGGGCAGCAGTCAGTACCCACTGGGGGTGGATGAGGGAGCCACCACATTTGTGCATCCAGTATCCTTTGGCATGAACCTTGAGTCTGGCCTGCCAGAGCCACTCCCCCTTCGGAGCCTCCTGGCCTCCAACAATGCCAACTTTCCCCCTGTCTAAGTAGAAAGAAAAGTAGGCTTCACACATCTGCCATGACAATCCTCTGCTTCCAAGATTATATGCCATGGGCTAGGTCTCAGATGAGGGATCCTATTCCTTCCCAAAACAATAACTATAACAATAATAATAAAGATAATGATATTATCAACTAAAATTTGTTAAGGACCTGAAACATACAACGCTGTGAGTTTTGCAATGCATTTTGCGTATAGGGTCTCATTTGATCTCATCAACAGCCCTGGGAGATGGGTACTAAAGGAATTATAATTTGACAAATATGGAAGTTGACACAGAAGGAGAGGATGAGTACCCAGAGCCACTCAGCTAATGAGTGTCAGTGCTGGGAATGGTACCTGGGGGCATTTCTGATTCTATTTCTAGCCCTCCTTCCACTATAAAATGCTGCTAACCAGGGGGTTCTCAGGCATCCTGTTTCCCAGAAATTACCACTGCCTCAAGAACCTCACATTCCATCCCAGAGTAAGAGTTGAAGCATTCTCATATGCTTCCCAGATATCACTCCTCATATGAGCAGCACAAGGCTAAGTACTTGAAGATCAGGCAGGCAGAGTCACCTTGAATCAGAGGCATTGAACTCCCCAGGAGGGGAAAGGTCAGGAAGAGCAGGCATAACATCTGGAGGAAGAGAGAGAGAAGCAGACTGAAGCGAGCAAAGAGCAGCCCTGCATGCCACAGTCTGGGTTAAAGCACCTCTGCTGTGTGGGGCTGGGAGCCCTGGCTTTGGATATCAGGTTGTTGTAGGGATTAGGATTCTTACCGTGTCCAAATTCCTGTGTTGTGTCCTCCCCATGAGTTAGCCCTCTACTTATTCTCCAAGGACGGGAAGTAGGAGAGGGAGGCAGGATGGTAGCAACCCAGCCCCCTTCTCAAAAGTGGAGGGGGGTGGTGAAAGAGGTGGAGGAAATAAAGTGGGAAGTGTGCTGAGAAGTCTGGCTGATGACTTGTCAAATGTCTATACTCCCATCCTCTTCTCCTCTATCTCCATCTAATCCTTTTAACCTCTCCCCATTTCTAGGTATCCTGGAAATCAGAGGTCTGTGAGAACTCTAACCCCAAACAGGGTTAGGGAATCATTTTCCCCTCAGAAGCATAGCCCTTTCCTTGAACCCTCTGAAAAACTTTATCATGTAACTTTGTGTAGTATTAATTATCTGTATTTCTGTCTTTTCCTTCTCCTAAACTGTAAACTCTAAGAACCTGAATGTCTAAACTTTAATTAAATAGCCCCCAATATCCAGTTCACTGCTCTTCCCATACCAAATATTTAATTTACATTGAATGGACAAATAAGATCTTAAGATCAAAGACATAAAAGTTGGAGTGGATCACAGAGACTTTCTAGTCTAATTCCAATTAGGGATCAGAAAAATGAAGTCCAGAGACCTTGCCCAAGTCAAGTTAAATAACTTGCCCAAGGTCACATACAGGGTAAGTAGTTCTTAAATTTTCTGGCCATTTCTATGTAGCTCTTCCAAGCCTGCCTTGCCACATCATGATTCTCATCTGCTCCTTCTTGATCCCAAAGACAGAATGGACTCAGTCAAATTCCACGTGAATTTGTGGATTTGCCCACCAGAAAACACCAGCCAGGACCTTCTCCCAAGGTCCACCATACATACTTACTCTCTGCCTTTCAGAAACTATTCTTATTTCTACAGTGGACTAATGGGGACTCTCACCACTGCAATACTCCAGAAGGATCTGGATTACAATAAAAGCATTTCTTCTGTGAAGTTTGGATTCACTCAAAGGGTCACACTTGAGGACCTAGAGAGCCACATATGGCCTCAAGGCCACAGGTTCCCCACTCCTGATCTAGAATCTCATCCATGTGGCTAGTCCTCCAACAATGCATTTCAGCCCATCCACACCTGCCTATACTGGACAGTTCTTATCCATGTCTTCTTACGACTTCACTACAAGGGGTCTCTCCAACTGACTGAGAAGCTGCCTTGCTTCCTCTTGACAGTGAGAGGAAACCAATGGAGCACAGGGTCTGTCCAACAGCTATTCCTTGCTGTCACCATATGGCCAAGCTACCTCCTTTTCCAGTCCATACATTTCTTTAGTGACATTCCTTACACCCATCACCTTCCTCTCCATTGCCCTATAGATGAATCTCAGCTTCAGTTCTCCAGACACTGGTGTTTCATGACTCCTACTCATACCATAGTGCCTAAACAACACAATACTAAAAAGATGAGTTTTTGTTTTGGGGAAAGATGGTGGATAATTCAAAGTCATTTGCACTACCCCAAAAGGCCATCCAGCCTAGTCTCCTTTTCAATTCTCAGATTCTTTCAGTAAGTCCACTTTCAGTAAGGGTCCTAGATCAGTTCTGAAGGCTGTCCATCCAGCTGCACATCATGCCCTCTGGACAAAAGGCATTCTTGATCCACTTTTTTGCATGTATTTTGCCCTGAATGGATGAGTAGGCCAAACTCTTTATAATGACTCTGAATCATTTTAGGGGCCTTTGCAGTGGTCCTGGACTGGAAGCAATCAGCACAATGCCTTCTGCATCTGCAGCATCTCGAAGACCTCACCCTCTATAGATGACTTGGTCTCTGCACTGGATCTACTCCATGATGTGCTGAAGCACAAAACTCAATTTATGTCCCAATTGTTATTAATAATCAAAGAATGGGTGACCAAAGATATCTTTGGTTAAATACTTTAAGCAATCTCATATAAAGATTTTTCACTAGAGAAACCTTATTGGAAAAGAGCCAATCAGGTGTCATGGTGTCCTACCAAATGGAATGGGTTTTGTTCATGGCCAACAAACAATAAGAAGAGTGGGATCATGTAAAGATGTGTACAGCCATGGAATATCACTTCCGAAGTCTGCCTGTTCCCTGCAAATTATTGCCTGCTTCTTGAGAACAAGGGCTGTTTTGCTTTTCTATTTGTATCTCCACCACTTAGTACAGCGCTTACTCCAGAGTATTTAATAAATGCATTTTCATTTCCCATTCTCTTGTTATCCTTATCTCCTTCAGATACCTAGAGAATCAGTTTCTAATTGGCCTCAAAACTGAGTTTCTTCCACCACAGACCTCCATTATGTACTTGATCTAGTCCAACTTTTTTCACCATCTTAATTTTCTCCGGCATGATTTCTGCTTTCTAGAGAAATATTCTGTGCCTGCAATGTTATGGTACTAATGTGGTGTCACTTCTGCCCAGACAGCCAATGCAGTTTGACAGAATGTTCATAAACAAGTGCAGAAAAACAGAAATATTAAATATATCCTTTACTGACCACAATGCAATAAAAATTATAACCAGTTAAAGGCCTTGAATAAAGGGTCTCACATTTAAGTGGGGACTAATTTAATCCTAAAGATTTGGTGGGTCAAGAATAAATCATAGGAAGCATAGATAAATTAATCAAAGACAATTAAAATGTCATTATAACATAGCAAAGTATTTTGGACGTAGCTAGAGCAGTCATTAGGGGAAATTTTATATCTCTGGACACTTACATAAACAAATTGAGATTGAATGTGTCAGTGAATTGGGTATACAATTCAAAACATTAGAAAAGCCACAAAAGAAAAAAAAACAATAAACACAAAAATAAAAATTCTGAGATCAAGAAGAGATTACCAAAATTGAAAGCTTGAAAATATCCCATTCAACTGATAAATAAACTAGTCTCCTTTTAAAAAAAAAAAAGAATGAAGTATTTAAACCATAAGCAGTAATCATAAAAAATAATTTTATGAAGAATATGAACCATAGCCCATTAAATAAGTGATCATATAATATGAACAGGTAATTTTCAAAAGAAAAAAATATAAGCTACTAACAGCCATGATTTTTTTTAATGTTTGAAATCACTAACAGAATCAAAGTGGGTACTCATTAATTGAGAAAATGCTAAATAAGTTATGCTATGTGAATGTGAAGGAGTATTATTGTAGCACAAGAAATGAGGAAAGGGACAAATTCAAATTCCTTGAAGACTTACATGAATTAATACACAATGAAGTGAACAGAACTAGGAGAAAAAAGCACACAAGAGCTGACTGAACAAAGCAGAATCCCATGGTATTTGAAAATCTGGCTGGGGAAAGGCTTCATGGCTCTATCACTAACTATAATTTGAGAAGAAGCAGCTTCTCAGAGCCCCAGAGAAGATCTGAGGAGCTTGGCAGTTCTCTGACTTAACTAAATTGCTTCTCATTTGAAAAAATAACATTCTCTCAGCACCCAGCCAACAGTGATTGTGTGCTTTAAAAAAAAAAAAATTATCACTGCTTCATCAGCCCTAGGGTAGGGGAGTAGCAGCTTTGGCCAGGAAGGGAGTTATCAGGAACAGAAAAGTCCAGAGAGCCGAGAAATGGCTTGGCCCAGTCATAACATGTGATACAAACTGTGCTCTAAAGAGACCCAGGACATTAAGGCCTGCCATCCAGAGTCATGAGTTGCCCTAGGCGCATGGGTTTCCCTATTCATGTGTCTTGCTGTGTTTCTGTAAACACATGCCCCATAGACACTGAGTGAAGTGATGGAAGAGTGTTACCCAGATTTATGAGTGAACTGTTGTTGTTCAGTCATTCACAGTCATGTCCACTCTTTGTGACCCCATTGGGGATTTTCTTGGCAAAGATACTGGAGTGGTTTGCCATTTCCTTTTCTAAATTATTTTACAGATGAGAAAACTGAGGCAAACATGGTTAAATGACTTGCCCAGAGTCACATAAGTGTCTGAAGCTGGGTTTGAACTCAGGTCTTCCTCACTCCAGGTCCAGGTCTGCATCCACTGTGCCACCTACCTGCCCAAGTGAGCTGTTATATTTTGAGTTTTCCTTCTTTCGTCTTCTACTGCATAAATGTTATGATTATTTCTGTTTTGCCTTCTAATAAGCAAATATTATGAATATTCTTGTCTTTGCCTCATCATTTAGTAATTATTTAATATAAATCAATAATGTTATGGTAATTGAATTTGTCTAAATGAGAAGCACACTAATGAGAGCTCAGGAGATTAAATAATTTAGAGTAGTAGGAGCATATCCCCCCCCATATCAGGGTTATCATTAGGATCTTGATGGGAAGTTTTAATTGTAGCCACATGGCTATAGTGATAACCATCCCTTTCCCACCTCCTCACTCCCAGAAAATATTCCTGAGCAGCTAGTGTGAGATTAGGTCACTGTATCAGCCCAGGAAGAGAAAAAAAAACTCCTCAGAGGAGTGATTCAATTTTCTATGAGCCTCCTTATTCCACCCACCTTACTATCCTCAGAAGATACACTTACTTTACCGAGAAGATACTTAGTAACTTCCTCTTTTCTACAGTTTAAACCTCAAAACCCTCTCGTTATCTCTGTTATTCCCCCAGTATCTCCTCCTTTGCCCAGCTTCTAAGAGTTATCAAAGCTGATCACTTCTACTTCTGCTCTTATTCTCTCCTTCTCCCTTTCTTTTTCTGTTGTTCAGTTGTGCCTGACTCTTTGTGATCCCATATATAGTTTTCTTAGCAAAGATGTTGGAGTGGTTTGCCATTTCCTTCCCTAATAGATTAAGGCAAACAGAGGTTACATGACTTACCCAGGGTCACACAGCTAGCAAGTGTCTGAGGCCAGATTCAAATTTAGAACTTCCTGACTCCAGGCTCAGAGCTCCATCCGCTGAGCAACCTAGCTGCTTTTCTCTTTTTATGACCCCCTCGAAATGGCCATAAGAAAATATTCTCAGTTAGCAATATATATGCCTACTTTCCCATTCGTGTAAAATCAAAGGCATTGTTGATGAGGTTAGTGAACGAATGAATGAATAAATGAGATTTCTAGTCTCTCCTTCGCTACCTATGAACACCTCCAAGTCTCCCTCAGCCTTCAAAATCTTTCACTTGCCCTCACCATTCACTCAAATTATCATCCTATACCATTTTTCCTGCCATAGTTTCACTCATAGAAAAAGGAAGGGAAAAAAAAGTCCTACCCTTATTGTCTCTGCATTTCCCACTCTTAACAGCCCCTTACAAATTGGCTTCTGATCTGGCCATTCCACAGAAACCGCTCTCTCCAAAGTTACCAGTGTTCTGATGATTAAATCCAATCACTTTTGTTGAACTGAAATCCTTCTTTATCACTGCAGCTTTAGACTTGTTGACCCCTCTCTCCCTCTGATTACTCTCTCTTCCTTGAGTTTTCATAACACTGATCTCTCCAGCTTCTCCTTCTACCTGTCTGACCACTGCTTCTCAGGTTCCTTTGCAGAATAATACTCGTAGGTGACATTAACATAGACACTTTCATATATTTTCTCCTTTGAATCTCACACATGAAGTTGGTGCTTTAGTTATCCTCATTTTCCAGATGAGAAAAATGAAGCTGACAGAGCTTAAGTGACTTGCCCAGCATTATACAACAATGAAGTATCTGAGGTGGGATTCAAACTTCTGACTACTAGGTCCTTCACTCTATCTCCATTCATGTCCATTCTCTGAAGATGGGTTAAGTTCTCTATCCCAAGACCCCTTTGCTTCCTTCTTTGCTTTTTTTTTCTTGTTGATCTTTTCAGTTCCTATGGGTTCAATGATCATCTCTAGGCAGATCATCCACAAATACATATATATAATCAACCCACTATCTCTCCCAAGCTCACATCTCTACCTGAATGTCCTATAGACATCTCA